CGGGAGTGGCCACTGCACTCCAGTCTGGGTGACAGAGTGAGACTCCAACTCAAAAAAACAAAACAAACAAACAAACAAAAATTTATTGTAGAGACGAGGTCTTGCCAAGTTGCCCGGGCCGGTCTCTAACCCGCGGGTTCAGGCAATCCACTTGCCTCGGCCTCCCAAAGTGCTGGGAATACAGACTGAGCCACCAAGACCAGCCTACAAATATTTTTTTAAATTAACTTTTTAAAACAATTTTTTGTTGCCCAGGCTGATTTCGAACTTCTGGGCTCAAGCAATCCTCGTTCCTCGGCCTCCAAAAGTTTTGGGATTACAGACATGAGCCACTGCACCTGGACAAATGATTATCTTTTATTGTTTGTGGTTAGTCTTGGTTAAAACAGTTCCATTCCAGATAGCACCTGTAGTCTCCTGGGTTTTCTTTCATTTAAGTTATTAATACATACAAAATTTATTTTTAATATGACGTAAGATGTAAAGGTCCATATTTACTCTTTTCCAAAAAGATTGCCAGTTGTACCAGTGTCATGTATTAAATAATTTATCCTTTTCCCATTAAATGAACTACTATTTGTCATATGTTAAAATTTCATATATAGAGATGTTCCTTGACAATGGAGTTACATCCCAATAAATCCATCCGAACTTGAAAATGCGTCTAATACTGGTAACACAGCAGCAGACAAGCCGCATTTACTGAGGTTCAGCTTACAGTTTTTCAACTTTGCAATGGTGTGAAAGTGATATGCATTCAGTACAAAATGTAACCCCATCGTAAGTTATAAGGGGCTCCTCAACTTCTGATGGGGCCACATCCTGATAAGCCCATCATAAGGTCAAATCAGTTGAATCATCAGCAACTATTACTGTGTTCTCTCTTCTGTTCCACGAATTTATCTGATGTACCGTTAATAATATATTGATTTTAATGTAATTACTTATTAGCATATTCTTATGAGTGGTAAATTTTTTCTGTTTCCACTTTTCTTTTTTAAAATTTGTAATATTCCTTAAATGTGATGGTTTTTAAAAATTTTATTATAAAGATGTGGGGTACAATTCAGGTTTAGGTATACAAACGTTGTTTATACAGGTATCCATGTTGATGAAGTATGCCCCTCCCTCCCCTAGCAGTTTCCCTCAACTGCCAATCCCACCCCCACTCCCCTGACAGTTTCCCACTACTGCCAATGCTTTCTTATAGTATTATAATTGTTCAAGGTCTGCTTATGAGTGAGAACATATGGTATTCTGTTCTTTTGTTTCTGTGATAGATCACTGAGTATGATCGAATCTAAATCCATCCAAGTTGCTGTGAAGTCCATATGCTTGTCCTTCTTTATGGATGAATAATATTCCATTGTGTATATGTACCACTTTGTTTTTTATCCAGTCCAGCTTCAACGGACAACATGGTTGGTTCCATGTTTTTGCTCTTGTGCATAAAGCTGCAACAAACATATATGTGCAGGTATCTTTTTTTAGAATGATTTGAGCTCCTCCAGGTATATTCCCAATAGGGGAATTGCTGGGTCATATGGAAGGTCAATTTCCAGTTCTTTCAGAAATCACCACACTGTCTTCCAAAGAGGTTGTACTAGTTTGCATTCCCACCAGCAGTGTAGAAGCATTCCTTTTTCTCCATATCCTCGCCAGCATCTGTTGTTTGTTTTACCAATGATGGCCATTCTTACTGGGGTTAGGTGGTATCTCAATGTGGTTTTGATTTGCATTTCTCTGATGATGAGTGAGGCTGAGCACTTTTTCATGTGTATGTTGGCTGCCTGTGTATCTTCTTTTGAGAAGTGTCTATTCATGTCTTTTGCCCACTTTTGAATGGGGCTGTTTTTTTCTTTTTGGCATGTTTGAGTTCCTTGTAGATCCTAGATGTTAGGCCTTTGTCAGATATACAGTTGGCAAATATTTTTTCCTATTCTGTGGGCTGTCTCCCTGCTCTCTTGATGGCTTTTTTTGCTTTGCAGAAGTTCGTTAGTTTAATGAAGTCCCACTTGTCTATCTTGTTTCTTAAGGTATGGGCATTAGGGTTCTGAATAGGAATTGGTTGCTAGTTCCAATTTCCATAAGGGTGTCTCCTGTGTTTGCTAAGATTCGTATAGTTTGAGGTTTTATGTTTAGGTCTTTGATCCATTTAGAGTTAATTTTTGTGTATGGTGGTAGGTAGGGGTCCTGTTTCAATCTCCTGCATGTGATCAGCACTTTTCTTACTTTTAAAATATATATTTGTAGGCAGTTAATAACTTTGAGATAATGTTATTTACCTCTTATTCAGTCTCATAGTTCTTAGTAAAGTTTTTCTCTCTCCAGTGTTTAAGCCTTTCTTACATATTCTCAGGCAATTATTTTTCCACATAAACTTTAAGATAATTTCATTCAGTTCTAATTGAATTGAATTAGTTATGTAGTAGACTATATTATTTAGATTTGTGTTAGTAGACTTTGGTATGTTCACACCATGACAAAATCACCTAACAATGCATTTCTCAGAATGTAACCCATCATTAAGTGACATGTGAATGATTATCAACAGATGCTGAAAAGGCATGTGACAAAATTCAAAAAAGCATTTTTAATAAAGCAGGAATAGAAGAAAAATAAAGAATATTTACCAAAAAACAATATCAAATATAATAGGAATTGCATTATATTTACATATTACTTTTTAGAATTGACATTTTTAGTAATATTGTCTTTTTAATATTACAAGCCTTCTCATTCAAGAATATGGTATGCCATATCATTTTTAAAATGTTTTATTTCCTCTAATCAGATTTTATAGTTTTATTTAAAAGTGTTTCATTGGCATTCTTGTTAAAATTGTTACCATTTTTGCCTCTACTGTGAATAGACTATTTTTTCTATTTCAGTTTTTTGTGTTTGTTGATAGAGTAGACAAAAGCTATTGATTGTTTTAATGTGTTTTATGTTTTTCCACTTCACAAAAATTCTCATATTAATTTTATAGTGAACTTTTTAAATTAGTGACTCTTGGATTTTTCTGGTTATACAATTTATACTTTCAGTGCCCACATCCCCCCAAAAGAGTTTATCTATTTTTTCCAGTGTTTACATCTGTTATTTCTTTTCTTGTCTTATTAAATTCATTTGAACCTCTGAGACTGTGTTAAGTAATGATGGTGACAGTGAACATCCATATGTAGTTCCTGATTTTAATAGAAATATTTTTGGTGTTTTGCCACTTGGAATTATATTTGATTTTTTTTTTTTTTGGTAAATAGTCTTTATTTTTCTTGTATTTCTGTTTTATTAAAAATCTTTTTTGAATTTTTTCACATGCCTTTTCATGTAGCACATGACGCTAATAGCATGTTTTTTCTCCTTCGGCCGACCTTGACAAATTGCCCAAGAGTGAAGCACCTATGCTTACATGGAATTAACCATACATTAATTCATTTTTTATAC